GGGGAAAAAGGCTCAAACAGTGACTGAAGTAAAAATGGCATACAGTTGAGCTGCTGCCTCTAAAGCCGGTTCTTATTGCTACCCTGCCTCTGAGTGGGTGTTGCTGAGTAGTCAGAGAGTAAGTAGAGTTCCCCAGATGGCCAAGCCATAGTGCAGAATGGGACTTAGGGACGTGTTCAAGCATGCATGCCATCATTCCTCTTTTCCTGCAGTCACTAGTTGGCTGTATCAAAGCCAGAGAATGACCTGTTGTCCTCACTCAATAGAGCAAAAATCTGGATGTCTTTCCTCATAGGTGAGGAGGTGCTGGGATTGATTGTGGGAACCCCAGGGATGGTTCAGTGTTGGTTGAACAGATCTGGCCCAGCAGAAGCAGGGGAAAAGCCACTAACTCTCTGATCCCTGGGAATGGAAGAGCTTGCCAAAGAGAGTTTTCTAGTATGCTTCTGAAGAAGGCTAACAGGAGCTGATTTGATACAAATCTGTAACAAGGATTGGAGTACTGATAGGCGAGAGTGACCTACGTGTAAGACACATACACATCTTACTCCTAGGGTTTGAGCCCCAGCACTGTCACTCCCCCACCCCCGCCCCCAAAATCTATCCTATGTTTTCAGGCCTCAGGCATGCAAGGCAAGCACTCTACCACTAAGCCACCTTCCCAGCCCTATGGGGTGGCTTTGAGGGTCAGTGTTGTCCAGAGCCAGGAGTAGTTATGTGGGAATTGTGATTGGTTGGATTTCAGAGGAATCCTGGGCCAGGTTCCAGCCCACCAGAATCTGAGCTGATGTTGAGAGGCTGGGCAGGCAGGCTGGGCGTTGGCTTGTTAAGGCTGCGTGGAGAGGCTTCTTGGCTGATCCAGCCTTTTCCTCCTTTGCAGTTCTCCTCCATGCTTATTAAAGTCACATCAACCCTGCAGAACAAATGCAAGGCTGAGAGTGCTGACGTCCCTGCGTATGGTCAGACATTGAGGCTGTGATGCTGTTTAGCATTTTCTGTTCCAAGCCTGGGGATTCTCCTGTTTCCCACGGATAGAAACTGGGGAGGCCTTTTGGGCAGCTCTCCATCTTTCTTATTTTTCCAAGAATTCGGTTAAGTATTTGAACCTTCACCTGTCAAAATCAGTTTTGAATGGGGACTTCTCTCCCCCTGGCTTCTTAGAATAGCAGAATGGAGGTATCATTTATCCCTGGGAGACTGTAATGGGGGTTTTCCTGTTTGGACACCCACCTTGAATTCATTGGAAACAGAAGTCCTGGGCATTGTATATTCCATAAATTTGGCTCAGACTTTAGCTGGGTCATATTTCCCCCAGAATCTTTTTGAAAAAGACTCTTGTCTCATTCCTTTAGAGCAACATGTGTAAGTTGGATAAAAATAGAGTGACTGGCTTCGTGTTTTGAGTTATGCATTAAACTTACAGTTTTGCTTGTGAAAAGCCTTTAATACATAACTTGGGGGAAATTTGAGTTTTGAGGCCTGAGGCCGGGTGAGACTTTATACTCCATCTGAAACCCTCCCGTGTGCCTGGCCAGCCACCACGATTATCCCACAAGCCTTACGATGCCTTTCTTTTCTCTCCCTCTTGTTCTTCTCACCCCACCTCGTCATCCTCCCACAGCTCTTGCTTTAGTTTGAATAGAGGAGTGTGTGAAGATGGTTGGATATGGACTTTCAGCTGACCACTAGGTAGAACTTGGTACTCAAAGACAGGACATCTCATACAAAAAAGTTAGTGGCCAACAAGGACTGCTAGCGGGAGAAATGTCTGGTCTATGTGGTGAGTTGCTCAGATGTCTACTTCCTGTGGAGAGTTCTGAGTGTTATGTAGACCATTTCTGCCACATTGACTGTAGAACCTCAGGAACAGGGCTGGTCTCATGGTCAGATGCCCAGTGCTTGACTTAATGCTTTGCTATCTCTAAGTTCTTAGTGGTTTTTGGACAAAGAAAGAGGTACTGCGTTTCCTTTTTTCTTTTCTTTCTTTCTTTCTTTCTTTTTTGCCAGTACCAGGGTTTAAACTTGGGATTCATGCTTGTTCTGAATGCTTCTTTAGCTGCTCTTACACTTACGTGCTCTTACACTTAAGCCACTGCTCCACTTCCGTCTTTTCTTTTTCTTTTTTTCCCCCTGGTCCTGGGGCTTGAACTCAGGGCCTGGGCACTGTTCCTGAGCCTCTTTGTACTCAAGGCTAGTGCTCTACCACTTGACCCACAGCTCCACTTCTGTTTTTTTTTTTTTTTTTGAGTGGTTTATTGGAGATAAGAGTCTCATGGACTTTTCTGCCCTGCCTGGCTTCAAACAGCCATCCTCAGATCTCAGCCTGAGTAGTTAAGATTACAGATGTGAGCCCCTGGCACCCAGCTCATTTCCATCTTTTTTGATGGTTAATTGGAAAAAAGAGTTTCATGGACTTGCTTGTCTAGGCTGGCTTTGAACTGTTATCCTGAGTTGCTAGTATTACAGTTGTGAGCCATGAGCACCTGGCCTCTGGTTATTTTTTTTAAGCCCCACACAGCCATTCAGCTGTCCTTTGGAGCAGCATGTGCTGACCATGTGGCTGTAGTTGGGTTTCATTATGTGCAGTTTGACACATGCTTAACCAATGTTCAGGTGGCTTGCAGGGAGGGGCAGTAGGGCTGAGTTTGGAGACAGCTCTAAGATGAGGCAGGCGTAGTTCCTCCCACGTGGGAACTCTTTCTGGAGTGGGGGTGGGAGGCAGAGGATCAGATGGACTGTCCCAACAATATTGAAGGAGAGGGCCCTGATGTACTTACACATGATAGTGTGAGTATAGTGCCACCCAGTCTGGGGATCCTGACCCTGAACAGAGCCAGATGTGTCCCAGAGGAGCTGGAGGTGAAAGATCTTCCCAGAGGGGATATCTATGTCTTTATCTATCCATCCATCCATCCATCCATCCATCCATCCATCCATCCATCCATCCATCCATCCATCCATCCATCCATCCTTCTGTCTCTCTGTCTCTGTCTGTCTGTCTGTCTCTCCATCTCTCCCTCTCCCTCTCCTTCTTCCTCTCCTTCTCCCTCTCCCTGTCTATTCATACCTGTAGTGGCCACTGGACCCGAGCAATCTGTCATCTGGGCATGGGTGCCTCTGACTGTCTGGGACTTGCATGGGTCTTGAAGTGGCTTTGTTTTAAGGACTTTGACTATGGACAGCAAGGCCTCTCTGTGAGTGCTGGCTGGAAAGATGGCACTGAGGCTGTGTGAAGAACAGTTCAGCCTCATGTTCCGGTTCAGCTTCAAGGCAGTCAGAGATGCCAGGAGAGGGGACAAGGGCTGCAAGTTTATTGGGAACATATAGAGAGGACTCCTTTTCTTGTCTTTTTGTGTGCTGGTACTGGGGCTCGAACTCAGGACCTGTCCTTGAGCTTTTTAACTCATTGCTGGTTCTCTACCACTTGAGCAGCTAGGAGTACAGGTGTGAGCACTGATATTCAGCTGCGAAGACTTTTTGGTAAGGAGAGATGCCATGTTGTGGGAACTGTACCAGAAGCTTGAAGGAGAAGTCTAGGATGGTTCTCATGTTTACAGCTTTGGGTCCTGGTGGAATAGCGGTAATGTGGGGGATGTTTGGTTAGGAGGGAGAGGGAGATAGGGACTCTAAAGATAATGTTTGAGGGTTTTTTTTTTTTGGTCTTTTATAGCCCCCCCCCCCCGCCCCCCAGCTGAGGACCAAACTCAGGGCCTTGCACTTGTCAGGCAGGCGCTCTTCCGCTGAGCTAACCCCCCAGCCCCAATGTTTGAGTTTTGATGGGTGGAGATGGAAAGAGGATAGAGAGCTGGGAGAGCTGGCCTGTGTTATGGTGTCCTCCGTTGAGCAGACTGAAACAGCCATGGCTTGGGCTCCCTTGCATTAATTTAATTTTATTTTTGGGTCCGGTCGTGGGGCCTGAACTCTGGGCCTGGGTGCTGTCCCTCAGCTCTTCAGCTCAAGGCTAGTGCTCTATCACTTGAGCCACAGCGCCACTTCTAGCTTTTTTCTTTTTGCTTATGTGGTGCTGAGGAATCGAACCAGGGCTTCATGCATGCAAGGTAAGCGCTCTACCACTGAGCCACCTTCCCAGCCCTAATTTAACTATTGATAGTTTTTGTTGTTGCTCTCTTTGGGCTGACTTCAAACCCTGATCTTCAGATCTTAGCCTCCTGAGTAGCTAGAATTACAAGTGTGAACTACCACTACCTGGCTTTATTAATAGCTCCCCCCCATCCCCCAACTGCCCTGTCAAAAAAGCAAAGATGACACTGGCAAGATAAAAGGGGAAGTAAGCCTTGCAAACATATAGGAAGGAGCAACCTAGAGGGAAAAATATAACTAGGCATAGTTATAAGTGAAAGGGAGACATATAAAAGTTGCTTGTAGCTGGGCATGCTGGCTTAAAGTCCCAGCTACTTAGGAGGCCATAGGTGGGGTGATTGTAGGTTGAAGTCTGACTGCCAAAATAACCCATGTAAAAGAGCTAAGTATGTGACTCAAGTGACAGGTAGCTGCCTAGAAAGTATAATGCCCTGAGTTCAAACCCAGTACTGCCCTCTCACCCTCAACAATATTGCTTGTGAAGAATAATAGAAATCCAAGACAACAAATACAAAGACATTAATATGTACAAATATGTAAAGAATCTGATAGACCATGTGCCATTGGGTTAGCCGATGTTTATCTCTGCAGTCCAACCCCCTCTTTATTGTTTATAATTCTGAAATGATTTGTTTAAGTTGTTATGGGAAAAATGTAAGCACACACAAAAGCAAAGACAGATTCATGCATTCCCATGTGGCACCAGTTAACAAGCTTTTGGAATCTTTCTTTTCCCATCCTTAACTATTTTGATACGGCTCCCATCATCATGTCTTTTCACTCTCAAACATCTCAGTACAGTTCTCCATGGATAAGAACTTCATTCACTTTTTCAAAAAGAGCGTGATCTACACTTGTGTAACCCAGAAGAATGACCAAGCCTGTGCCTGTCTTTCCAGATAGCAAAGCCATTGTGGATGGGAACCTGAAGCTCATCTTGGGCCTGGTGTGGACACTGATCCTCCATTACTCCATCTCTATGCCTGTGTGGGAGGATGAAGGGGATGATGATGCCAAGAAACAGACACCAAAGCAGAGGCTGCTGGGATGGATTCAGAACAAGATCCCCTACTTGCCCATCACCAACTTTAACCAGAATTGGCAAGATGGCAAAGCCCTGGGAGCCCTAGTAGACAGCTGTGCTCCAGGTAAGTCATTGTTGTCAGTTGCCTAAACTGTTATGCTCAAGATGACACTGTACAAGCCCCATACATCTGGTTTTCCTGTGGGAAAGCTAGCTTCACAGTGATTGGTGGGTATTTCCTTTAAGACAGACAGATATGGGACCAAACTGTTTTGTTCCCCTCCCAGTATCAAATCTTCTAGTTCTATCTACATGGCATGCTTGAATGTTGATTCCAGTGTTTATTTAAATCCCCAAATGCAGGCCTTAACACTTTAAGCCTAGAGCAGACCTTAGGTTTAGATCCAAAAGTCAAAAAGTGGTATGTCTTCCTACATCAGTGCCTAGTTTCTTGTTGGCTTTGGCAGAAACATGTGGCCCTCTTAGGTGGCTTGGCATGAAAAAAAAATCTAAAAACTTAATTGAGTGAAACATCCCCATTTTGATTAACCACTGGTTTGACTATATATGGCTCTCTTTGCCCTTTTCTTTCTGTATTACTGTGGAGTAGTGTTTGGTCAAGATCCAGCTGGAGCCTTTTCCAGATGGGTTGTTTTCTGAGTGGTTGGGTATACAACAAGATTATAATTATCTTCATGGAGGGTTTAAGATTGATGTGTTTTTCTCAATAGAAAAAAAAAGCAGCCAGTGTTTATATACCTTCCCAAATTACTAAATAAAAAAGCCATTCTAATAATCATATTTTCTGTTTACCGAGTACTTTTTTACATATGTATATATTATTTATTTATTTATCTTCTTCTTATTTTTTGCCAGTCCTGGAGCTTGAACTCGGGGTCTGAGCACTGTTTCTGAGCTTCTTTTGCTCAAGGCTAGCACTCTACCACTTGAGCCACAGCACCACTTCCAGCTTTTTTTCTGTTTATGTGGGACTGAGGAATCAAACACAGGCTATCATGCATGCTAGGCAAGCACTCCACCACAAAGCCACATTCCCAGCCCTATTTGTCTTTTCAAAAGTACTTTTTGGTACTAGGGATCAAACCCAGGGTCCCATGTTTGCTAGGCAAACATTTTACCACTCAGCTCTGACGAGTGTTCTTTATGTGCCAGGCACATCATGTTTAGTAAGGTAGTGGCTCTAGGCACCCTCAAAGCAGAACTGCTGTCTAGTGTCAATTCGGTAAAGAAAGAGGGCTGCTACATTATTCTCCTTCTAAGTTGGTATCATCTGAGAATAATTCAAAGGACAGTATTAGTATAGCATTTCTAGTGCTTTCTTCCTTCCATCTGAAAATACACTTTTTTAGTTTAAATCTGAGGATTTTTACTCGTTTTTTTTTTTTTTTTTGGTCGGTCGTGGTGCTTGAACTCTGGGCCTGGGCGCTGTCCCTCAGCTCTTCAGCTCAAGGCGAGCGCTCTACCACTTGAGCTACAGCGCCACTTCCGGTTTTCTGGTGGTTTATTGGAGATAGGAGTCTCACAGTCTCTCCTGCCCGGGCTGGCTTTGAACCTCGATCCTCAGATCTCAGCCTCCTGAGTAGCTAGGATTACAGGCGTGAGCCACCAGCGCCTGGCTTCCTTTTACTCCAGTTTTAAATGACTTGTACTTTGAAAGTCTTTTGAAGTAACTTTTTATACCTTTAAACAGATGTTTGAATTACACAGGATACTAGTTTAATCTTCTTTAGGTGTACACAGGTATACTATTAAAAAGCATTTTCTTGCCAGGCACAGGTGGCTCAAGCCTTAATCCTAGCTCCTTCAGAGGTTGAGATCTGAAGAGCAAGGTTCAAAGCTAGCCTATGCTGGAAAGTCCAGGAGACTCTTATCTCAAAAAAAAAAAAGCCCAAACATGAGCTGCGCTCAAGTGGTAGAGTGCTAGCCTTGAGCAAAAAAAGCTCAGGGTCAGTGCCCAGGCCCTGAGTGTGACACACACACACACACACTCTCTCTCTCTCTCTCTCTCTCTCTTTGGGCTTGAAGTATAGTAGATTTCCTGCCTAGCAAGTGTTAGCCCCCTGAGTTTCAAGCCCATTATTAAATAAATAAATAAAATCCTGGCACAAAGGTACCAGGTCCAAATGGTGCTTTTTTTTTTTTTTTTTTTTTTTTGGGTGCTGGTGGCTTTGTACTGAGTAGTTAGGAATATAGGCATGAACCATGAACATGTGGCATCCAAATGGTTTTATAAGCCTTGTTTGTTATATACCCTCAAAGAATAGATCATACCTATCTTAATGCAAGATAACAGGCTTATGGAAAAAAGTCCTTGCTAATATACATTTATTTTTATTCTTCCCCAATATAATTCAGTGTTTTGTGGGTTTTTTTGTTTTGTTTTGTTTTTTGTTTTGCAGTACTGTGGTTTGAACTGGGAGCCTTGCATTTGCTATACAGGTGTTTTACCACTTGAACCATGCCTTCAGCCCTTCATTCAGTGAAATTTTGGAGGCAGTAGTTTTCTTTGAGTTCAGAGACCAAATGACTGTCCAGATAAACACACTGTATTCAATATGTAAGGTCTACTTAAAAATGATAAAATAAAAACATATGTAAGGTCTTAGGTATGTGGGTTTGATTACAGAAACTAATAAACTAGTCTCTAAATTAAAAAAGGGGGAAAAGGGGAGAGACCAAATGGGTAAATGGGTTTAGTTTGGGGCACATGGCTTCTTTTAATCTCTTCAGTCAACTGATGCTGTTGTTTGTGTTTGTGTTATGTGAACAGGTTTGTGTCCAGACTGGGAGTCCTGGGACCCACGAAAGCCTGTGGATAATGCCCGAGAAGCCATGCAGCAGGCAGATGACTGGCTGGGCGTCCCGCAGGTATGTACATGTCTGCCTGTCCCCCTGAGACCGTACTGGCTTGTGGTGGTCTTGGCCTTCCACCTCCAAAGAGTATTTTTTTTTGGGGGGGGGTCCGGTCGTGGAGCCTGAACTCTGGGCCTGGGCGCTGTCCCTCAGCTCTTCAGCTCAAGGCGAGCGCTCTACCACTTGAGCCACAGCACCACTTCCAAATTTGCCTCTCTTGGAATCATGTCTCTGCTTCTTAGCTTCCCTCTTCCCCCTCAGGAAGTTGAATGATGTGTTTTTCATCTCCTGTTAAGCTTGAAACCATCTACTTTTGACGTTCATGTGATGTTGGCACTGTACAGTTGTTAAAGGAGCCACGGGGAAGAAACGCCAAATGAAAACATCCTACTTTTTACTGGAATGTACTGTAGGCAGCTGTTCAAATCTCAGTAATTATTTTCTTCTTGCAGGCTAAGCATCAAAATGGTCTTATTTTTCTTTTTTCTCTCTTTCTCTTTTCTCCCTCTCTCCCTTCCCCCTTTCCTTCCTATTTTCCTTTCTTTCATCCCTTCTTTCCTCTCTCCTTTCATCCCTCTCTCCCTCCCTTTCTCTTTTATGCCTTCCTTTCTTCTCTTTCAATCATAGGGAGAGGAATGTTGGTATAGCTTTTCATCATATTTGGTTAACTTAACTCATGAAAAAAAGCCTTATCTTCTCTTGGTGAGGTGTGGCTTACCACCTGGCACCATTGGTAGGGGCAGGGAGGACTTGCCATGCCATTAGGGCTGGGTCAGATGGTAGAACTGGACCCAGTCTGTGAAAATCTTCAGAGCAGCTACTCATCCAGCCTGGGTCTCATCATGCTCCTGAACTGAGTGTCAGGAATTGTTTTCCCTCTCCCATTTTTAATGGCTACTAATATATTCCCACCACATATGTTATGTGTGCCTGTGTTGTCCCTTACTATTTTTTGTTGTTTTCTCAGGATTTTACTATGTAGTCCAGGCCAGTTTCACGTCACCATACCCAGCTTATTTTTGGTTTTCTTTATATTTTTCTTTGAAGTAAATTTAATAGAGATGTGGACACTGGATAGATGAACAAGAGAAGCTAGTTTATCTATGCGTCTTCTACTTCTATTTTGGTGGGGAGGGGGGTATGTGTTTATTTTTTCTTCTTGATTTGCTGCTGTTTATTCCTTTATCCTTTCTAGAACATTAGGCCAGGGGAGTGAATGGAGTCTTTGGAATCTCTGGAAATAACATGCAGGATTTTCTGGATAGGATGCCCCAGCTTCCAATGGGGACAATAACACCTTTAAAAGGTTGAAATAACCAATTATCTTGGGTGTCTTGTTTTAATGTAATTTTACTTAAACAAAGCACGGACTCATTTTCTTAGTATTTGTAGTATTTGGTTTAAGAGACAGTCATAAAAAGCTATATGGAGGGCTGGGAAAGTGGCTCAGTGGTAGAGCGCTTGCCTTGCATGCCTGAGGCCCTGGGTTCGAGTCCTCAGCACCACATAAGCAAAAAGAAAAAAGCCAGAAGTGGCATTGTGGCTCAAGTGGTAGAGCGCTAGACTTGAGCTGAAGAGCTGAGGGACAGCGCCCAGGCCCAGAGTTCAGGCCCCACGACTGTACCAAAAAAAAAAAAGCTATATGGATTTCCAAGTGATGCAGGAATTCACCTACCATGTTGTCATTATAGGTCATCACTCCTGAAGAAATTATTCATCCTGATGTTGATGAGCACTCGGTGATGACTTACCTTTCTCAGTTCCCCAAAGCCAAACTCAAGCCAGGCGCTCCTCTTAAACCCAAACTCAACCCAAAGAAAGCCAGGGCATATGGCAGAGGTAAGTGTTGATCCTCTAGTTGTAGAGAGTATGGCTTGAAGAGGAATGCACTTAGAATAAAGAGTATAAGATAAGCCTTATTCCTTTTTTAAAGTAACTATCTATTGTTTTGTTACTACTGCAGTTTGAACTCAGGGTTTTGTGCTTGTTAAGCTGGCACTCTTCCGCTGAGCCATGCCTTCAGTTCCTCCTTCTCCTAGATAAGCTTCATTCTTAATGATACCATACTAAGCTGGGTGCTGATGGCTCATGCTCATGTCCTAAGTCCTCAAGTGGCTGAGATGTGGAAGATTGTGATACGAAGCCAGCCTGGACAGATAATTCCTTGAGACTCCATTTCCAAAATAACCAGCAAAACATGGTAGACTGGAGGCAGGTATTAAGTGGTAATACCATAGGAAGCCTAAAGGCTCATTTATATTCTGGCTTGAAGAAATACCTTTGCTTTCATGTAGCAGAGCATGAAGAACTTGCTGTACTTTCAGTGCAGTAACCCTGGGACTACAAAGGGCCATTGCCTCCATTTTTCAGAAGAGGAATCAGGACCTAGGCCACTTGGAGAAGGGGGAGAAGGGTCTTGTGTCAGGTTACCAGTCAGGGATGGGAGTGGGTCAAGAGTCTGGGCCATCTGGCTGCTGATTTATTTCTCCTGGTGGGTGAAAGCTGCCTCAGCTTTCCAGATAGGATGGAAGCTATTGTTAACCCCTGGGAACACTTCCTTGCTGAGACATCCTGTTTATGACAGGATCTGCAGGACACTGCTGCTTACAGTGCAATGACCAAAGCCATTTCGAGCCCTTTTGTGCTGTGGGTGACATTTGACTTCAAGCACATGTTCCTTAAAAGAGAACAGTCCCCTGGTAGCCCAGTTTTGTTTGTGATAAGGATCAGCATGGTAAGATCTCATATACACATACAGTATCCTGTGTATCTCCTCATCTGACTCTTAGGCCATGGTGCCTGCCATCGCCACAGCAGACACACTTGCCATTCACAGTTCTGTCTGGCCGGATGTTGGGGTCTGTGCAGGTCTCTGTGTTACTGGTGTCAGGGGACTTTGTTGTAGTTACTGGGAGGTTGGCATGTTCATGCTTGTTTTCTCTGTGCCATAACCAAAGGTGGTAATTAGCAAGATACACCAGCTAGGTGCTGTGAGCTTCTACATCTAATTCTAGCTACTCAGGAGGTTAAGATCTGAGGATTGTGGTTCGAAGCCATCCTAGGCCAAAAAGTCTGAAAAACTCTTCTGTTAACTACCAAGACACCAAATGGAGATGTGGCTCAAGAGGTAGAGCGCAGCCAGGCGCTGGTGGCTCACGCCGGTCATCCTAGCTACTCAGGAGACTGAGATCTGAGGATTATGGTTCAAAGCCAGCCTGGACAGGAAAGTCCGTGAGACTCTTACTCTAATAAACCACTAGAAAACCGGAAGTGGCACTGTGGCTCAAGCTGTAGAATGCTCGCCTTGAGCTGAAGAGCGCAGGGACAGCGCCCAAGCCCAGAGTTCAAGCTCCATGATCAAAAAAAAAAAAAAAAAAAAGAGGTAGAGCACCAGCCTTGAGGAAAGAAGCTAAGGGACAGTACCCATTCCCTGAGTTCAATTCCTGGTAACAGCAAAAGGGGAAAAAACGGAAAGTAAAGAAGTGCAAGACTTTAAAGATTATGCATCCTTATTGGCAGAAATGTTGCAAAGAGCCATATAAATCCCTTGCAACTTAATTGGCTGCATGGAATGAATCAATTCAGAGCATAAAATGCTTGTTTGAAATAACCTTATCACTGGCTATCCTGTTTTCCCATTGTTAATGTCAGATGATTTTCCTTCACAGTGCTACAGTTCAGGAATGTGGCTTCTCTTGCCATTTCCTCTGCCTCTTTGTAAGTGTTGTGTGCTGTGGGAGGAAGCAACCTTTTTTTCCCCATTCATCTCTGTGTGTGTGTGTAGTTTGTGCATTGTTTTTCAGTTAATCATTGTCAAATGATTACCATTAAGTATACCATTCTGTGACTGTGTACTGGTCATGCAGTCACCAGCACTGTTTATTTGCAGAAGGGTTTCACCTTCCCAGAGTCAAACACCATGCTTACTAGGCAGTTACTCTCTGTCCTCCCCTCCCCCATCTCCAGGTGAGCTGTGTTCTTCCTTCTGTCTCTCTGATCTGCATTGTACCTCCTAGAAATGGAATCCCACAGTTGCTGTGCTTTTGTGGCAGCCTTACTTCACTTAGCATATGTTTTTCAGAGTCTAACCATGTTGTAGGATGTATCAGAATGTCACTCATTTTTATGGTTCTATAGTATCACATAGCTGCCATGTTTTGTTTATCCATACATGTGTTGATGGACATTGGGGTTGTTTTTACATTGTAGCTTTTCTGAGTAATATTGCTGTGAACACGGGTGGAAAGTATCTTGAGACCTTGTTTTGAACTGTTTTGGTATAGCCCAAGCATGGAATTGTAGAACATGTGATAGTTCCATGTTTAGCTTGAGTGGGGGAGGGGCAGTGCTGGAGTTCGAGGTAAGGCGTTCACCTTTGCTAGGCAAGCCATGCCTCCAGCCCTTTATTTAGTGCCCTGGTTATTTTGAGATAGGGTCTTGCTTTTTGCCTGGGCCTGCATCAGAACTGTGACCTGCCTATTTTAACCTTCCAGCCATAGCTGGAATGACTGATATGCACCACCACACCCTCTTAAGATAGAGTCTCACAGATGTTCCTGCCTGGGCTGGACTTGAACCACAGTCTTCCTGATCTCAGCCTCCCAAGTAGCTAGGATCATAGGTTTGAGACTCAGATACCTGACTTACAGTTAACTTCTTTTGCCCTTTAAAAGTAGGAAGACAAAACACTCATTTCAGGTGAGAGGGCTACAATGTATGGCTATTAGTGAGATAGACTTTCTCTTGCATGTAGAAACATTGCTTGGTTTCTACTGCTCCAAGTAGGAATGGAGAATATCCCATCTGTTCTCTAACAGACTTGAAAAGTTGTTTTTGTTCTTTTTTTTTTCCTTCTGGATGTTGGATAGATGCCTGTGGCCCGTCAGTTTGTACTTACAGATCCATTCACAGAGCCCTGACTTACCTGGTCTGAGTGGGGTGAAGGAGAGAGGGCTGGGTAAGGAGAATCTACTTCCACACAGAGGTCTTTGTGGTGGGCTTCCTCGTGGGGGTAGGTTGGTTGAAAGTATCCATGCATGACTTAAGTAGAAGCAATTTTCAAAACCTATGTTCTATATGAAGCATTTCCTGCATAGCCAACCTTATGCCCCTTCAGTGTGAATAATGAAAGGGAGTTGCTGTCTCTCTGCCTGGCCAGCAAAGCTCAGCTCTACAGTTACAGTGTGGGCATGTGGTTCAGCCTCCTAAACAACCATGGTTAGCCAGGAGACCCAGGTCCCGCCCAGCCTTTGACAAGCTGTACAGTAAGTTGTTTCTGAGTCATAAGTGTGGGTGTTTGTCAGTATTGCAGGCACATGTTTAAATCTATTTGTTAAATGACTCAAAGCACAAGAGAAAATTAAAAGTAGAAGGCAAAGTCCACTTTACAGTTGCCAGTCTCTATCTTTTTTTTTCCCCCTTCAACGTTGGAGTCATTTCTTTCTAATCTTTTTCCTGTGCTGAAATGATTTCAAATTGTGTGTTTTTTCCACCTGGCATTTCTTCTTTAACAGTGTGGGCTATTTTATACTAACACATAATCCACTGTCTTTAACAGTGAAGAAGATAGGGAAAGAAATAGAGCAACATTAAAAAAATTGAATGAAATGTAAGAGATTGAGGAATCGGTGTAAGCCTTGTTTGGATCCTGTTCCAAACTGACTTTTAGGAAAACTCATGTGTAATTGGAAACTTGAATGCTGACTGGAGATATGAAGACATTATTATTATATTTTAAATGTGATAATTTGTATTGAAGAACACTTTTAAAGATAGTGAATTATAGATGATGTGTGTGAGGTCTGGGGTTTGAATGACACAGGAGGGGCGTGTCCACGCGTGCTGGTGAGAACACTAGCTGGAAGTTGATAGTTGTACAGGCAGGTGACAGATACACAGGGTTCACGCCTGTGATCCTAGCTTCTCAGGAGGCTGAGATCTGAGGATCACAGTTCAAAGCCAGCCTGGGCGGGAAAGTCTGTGAAACTTATTTCCAGTTAACCACCAAAAGGTGAGAAATGAACTGTGGCTCAAATGGTGGAGTGCTAGCTTGAGCACAAAATGTCAGGCACAGCATCTAGGTCCTGAGTTCAAGCCCCATGACTGACCTCCCTGCCCCCCCCCCCAAAAAAAAAGTAAGTGCTCAAGACCCTGAGTTCATGCCTCATTAGCAGTGTGTGTATACACACGTGCACAGTAACACTAGAGATATTGTTTCTGGGTAGAATGGGCATGTATGTAAGTTAAGTACAAGTAGAATTGAAAAAGAAAAGACCAACAAGGCAGACTAGCTAAGGACATGGGTCCAAGGATAGACAGATATGAATGCCTGGGTGTCTTTTGCCTTGAATATACCAGATTTAGGGCTGAAGATGGCCATCTAGTTAATGAACATAGACACAAAATGTCCCAGAAAAAAGCCTATTGTCCCTACCCAAAAGGTCAGGAAAGGCAGCCTAGGAAGCCTGAAAGAATACTTTTAGGTAATATTCCAACCAAATACCACAGGAACAACCCCGCCCCCCATGTTCACCTGCAAATGCTCATGGAGAGCCTGGACTTTGTTGGTAAGGAAGTGATAATGTCAGCATAGGAGGACTAAGGAGGGACCCCTCTCTCACCCCTCCCAGCCACTAATGGAGGTATGGTGGGAAGCCCACCAGAAATGAAGTGCCCTCTCACCTCAAATGTCAGTAAAGATTGACCTGGGATCCTGGGCTTCCTCCCTCATGGACAGCAATGTCAGGAGTTTAAAGTGTCCATTTTATAAAAACTTCAGTGAGCAACCACAAGCATTCTTCAAACAAATAAAAAAAAAAACAACCCCAGCATGGAAATAG